AAATATGAAATACTAATCTTGCTCGTACTGTCTCACAAACATTTTATTAGTAATTGGCAAAGTGCAAGTTTTATCTCAGCTGCTGTCCAAATCACACATATTCTTAATTAGTGATATATTTGGGAGCTTTTAATAAAGTAAAACTAACTAATAAGCCTCATTGCTTTAAGCAGAGTAGTATCTTGGGAGATTTGCTGATTAGAAAAAAAAAAAAAAAGATAAACTAAACTGCTCTGTTAAAAACTCACTATGTGTAAGGCACAGTGCCAAGCAAGATTCTCACTGATAGAGTAACATTGAGGCCCTGATTGTACTGTGAGAAGAGCATGGTATTATTCTTTTAAGTATTCTCCCAGTTATCATCTCTTCCTTCCTGTATGGATATTTTACTTGCTTTGAGATCAATAGTATCAATGTAGATCTCTGGTTATGTCATTACACTGCTCAGAAGTCTTCATGGCTTCTCTTTTCCTATTAAAATAAAATCCAGTCTCATAAAAAAAGTAAGTGAGACCTGTATGATCTAGTTGCAATCTGTTTTTCCTATATTATTTTCTGATATTTTTTTATCCTGCTCCTAGATCAGATTGTTGTACTTACTACTTCTTCTTATATTTTCCACCTTCTTACCTTTCTTCAGAACATTCCAAAATCTGGGTGATTTGATTAAAGTTCACATCCAGGCTGGAGTAGTTGTCTGATCAGCACAGAGAATGATGGTATTATTGTTCTTTTTGATCCAGGTTCTAAATTTCTATTAATGAAATTTTAAGATTCCTTTTGTCTTTTTTATACCCACATTGTTCTATGGGCTTACATCGAGCTTATATTCAAGTAAATAAGACTATAGGTCTTATTTATATGACCATCTGTCAAGCTGAGTTTCTTTGTATGGTTTGTGAACTAACCACAACCCTATGCATTGGGCCTTTGCAAAATCACTGCTTTTATTTTGAAAGATTAAATGTCTCTGGATTATACCTTCTCCCCTTCACTTCTCCCGCCATTACCTTAGCCTTTGCCACCCTAAACCCTTTATGAAATAAGTAAAGAGACAGGAAGAGAGAAATAAGAGAGAAAAGGAAGGAGCATTCATTCCCACATGTGGAACCATGTTTATCCCCCTCTTCTTTTCAAACTATATCCTATATAGGTAGCCGGGGAAAAATATTTCTAAAATCAAATCTGACTATCGTGTCCCTCCCCAAACAAGTGCCCTCAATGACTCCCCACTGGCTCTATTGTGGCCTTAGATCCAGTGTGATTCATTTCTCACCTTAATCTCCAGTCTTATTTCTTACCACACTCTCTCTGGCCTTTGTACATGCACCTGTCTGGGTTGACAGCATCATGTCCTAGCTGCACTTGTGGCTAACTGTATTTCCTTCTTCAAGACTTAGTACTGGCATATCTTTCTTTAAGAAATCTTCCTTGGCACCCCTAGAAGAACATGTGCAGGTGTCCTTGCTCTCTGTTCCAAGGCACCAGGTTACTATCATGACGTTCATTGTACCGGTTGAATTTCCTGATCACTTTCTTTCTCCCTATAGTTAGACTTTGAGCTCCTCGAGACCAATGAGTGTATCTTTCATCTCTGTAATCCTAGTGCTAAGAACTGTGACAAGTATTTGTATTGGTTTATCTTGCCAATAAAATATTCCTGACTTTTTTCTTGCTCATTCAGGAAGAGTCCAGGGTAAGATAAAAAGGAACATGGTATAATTTAGCCTAAGCAAAAGCCATATTTTAATCCTGTAACTATTGGATTGTTGGAAAAGTCTTGATGTATTTTTTCTATGGTTTTCTATGCAAAAATTTGTCATGACTTTCCTACTACCTAATAATGGGATGCATATTTAAACTTTGTTGCACAGTGTCATTACATCACCAAGACAACATAGTGAAGTTGACTATAACCAAAATCTATTGGTGTGTGTATTTTAATTTGTCCTTGCCCTAAGGCTGAAAACAAAATAGGTATGAATGATCTGTCATAAATGAAGATTATCAGGTATTCAAGTTCTTAATGCTAATTGCATAGTGAAATATGTAATGGATTTTCTGGGATAGGTAATTAGAGACATCAGATCCTAATTAATTTGACTTTTTTGACAACTATCTCAAAGACAACTTGAGATGAGCATTGTCCTTCCGTCATAGGCCATCTTAAATTTTATTTAACACCAATAGTGAGGAACAGGTTTTACTGCTCTAAGGGAGCTATATAACCTGTGAAAGATTTCTGAAGATCTCTAAGCCTTTTTCTGAGATAGCTTAAGTATTTATTTAGTCAGAAGATGTCTCTCAAGGGTCCATCCGGTTAAAAATCTATAATCAGTAAGCCCCAAATAATGAAGGACTCCTCTTCCCACAACTATTACTTTACTTTCCTGATCACTAAACTGACCAAATGAAATTTACCTATTTACCAAAATGGCTATTACCAATAGCCATTTTATTCCCTAGGTTATATCAGTGTGTTTTAACAAACCTAAAGCCATATTTCTTATCAGAAATATAATTGTGATCAATTTTAATCACCTTTCCTTTATAGTACCTTGGTAATTATCAGTTGACTATTCTGTACATTTTAGTGATTTGATTCCCCACTTCTCTAAAGAAGCATAAAATTGTTTTAAAGTTGAAGACACCTGGTATTTCATTACTTGTTGCAAAATAGAATTCATTTTAAGTGGTAGAGTCCCACTGGAGAGTGCTAACATGAATAATTATCTTCTCATTAGCTGCAAGCTACCAAAATGAACGATTCAATTGCATGTCTTGATAGCATCTTCAAATGTGATTTACATTTACATCTCTAATAAAAATTAGTACGTACTTCACACTTTCTGATTTTTGTATGTTCCTTTGTGGCAACATAAGTTCTTACTACTTCTATGGGTATGTATAAATTACAGAGAAATGTTTATGCCAAGCAATGGCTGAATATGTGTGTTTTTTTTTTTGAATTATTTATTTATTTATTATCATCATTATTTTTCAGTTTTATCAGAGAGAGAGAGAGGAAAACTGAGTAAGCAAGCCGCCAAGTCTAGGACTTAAACCATAGTTAGCCATGTGGGAGTCCAGTACCTCAAACACCATGCCACCTGCTGGCCCCTCTGAATGTGTTTTGCTGAGAGCCTAGATTTGCAGTATCTAGTTCCTCATAACACCTACTATGTTACATTTCTACATTTCAATGTAATTTCTTTTCATTTGAAATGTGCCCTGAGTAACTTCAATGGATTAATTATAATATAATATTTTATGTCTACAACTAAAAAGAATTCTAATAAGAGATTTGGAAAAGCAAAAAGTGACTTGGGGACATTCCTAATTGGATAAAAATAAAATAAAACCTTGAATAGCACTAAATAATAGCTACCATGTCTGGAATATTTGCCCTATGTCAGAAGATGTGGTATGTGCTTCACACTAATTATTTCCAATCCTTATCATTGAAGGAGTTAAAAATATATCATGCTGGCCTATTAACTATTTAAATTAAAGTCACTTAGAAAATCAGTAGATTCAAAAAGATCACTTTGACCTTCATGCTGTTTCTTAAAGGCAAAAGATAAAATTCCTATATGAAAGATGCCCTCCCTATACTAGAAAGACACAACATCCTTTTCCTCAAGGACAAGAAATTCAATCAGGAGAATTCTATACAGACCTTGTTAAAATAACTCTTGACTCTTAAGCCTCCCCACGTAATTTGTTTCTTCACAACTTAACTACTCTTTGTCCAGTTCAGTATAAGTCATTGAATCCAACTACTTCTTTGGGTCTTTCTTTCTTTATGAGGGCTCTTGTGCTACCTAAAATTAATACATTTTTCTTATTATTGTTTGTCATGTCAATTTATTCTCAGATCCAGCCAAGACTCCAAGAGATAAAGGTGGAATTTTTCCACACCTATATCCTAGAGGAAGTATTATTTTTCCCATTTTGCTGATTACAAAACTGAAACAGAGTTAAGTAAATCGCTCAAGGTCAATGCTAGCAGTTGGCTGGGCCAATTTTCAAATGCAGATGTATCTGCCGCCAAAGCCTGGGCTTTTATTTTGACACAAGGCCATAATTAAGATTACAGAGATCTCACAAACGTATAAGTTACCTCTTATTGTCTTATCTGCCTAGACTCAAAAGACATTGAAACTATGATCAAGTGTTTTCCTGTCTAGTCCATATCAGGATATATATTGAAAGTGCTCTAGTTCACAAAGTTAGGAATCGGTAATATCATTTAGTTAATATTTTTCTTTTTTTGTCTTCTGGCAGAAGCTCTCTCTAAAACCAGGGCCATATTTTTTTTTAATGACTTAGAGGGAGGCTAACCTTAGGCTGTCCCAAAAACAGCAACAGCAAGTTAATTTATCATCTTTTCCCTTGTACAATGGATGATATCCAACGTGTAGCTTTGAATGGCCTCATGGAGAGAGATAAGTTCATTGTTTCTGTGCTACAAGGAGAACACTGATAATAAGAATTTGGCTATTTTCTAATGTTATGAATGCAATTTTTAAGCAATGTGAAAGTATATCTGCACTCATTAAACTCATTTCACACCCCAAAAAATATTTATTGAATGAATTTGATTGCATTTAACATAGCGAATGGTAGAAATGGAGCATGATAAAAATACTGAAAATTTCCATAGATTGGAAAGTTGTGAACTATGTAACAATCAGTTCATAATAATGAAAAAAACATTTAATACTTCTTTTAACTGGAAATTAAGAGATTTGGAGTAAGACCAAGAATCAGGCACCTGGTCAGGGTGTTAAATCTGAGGAGAGATATCACTCACTCCATGAAATAGGATTCTTGTCCTAGAATTATGTCCCAGCTTGTTAATTGCTGGGAAAAAAATAGCAATGCCATTTTTTTTAATTAGAGTATCATTTTATTAATTAAGAGAAGCAAGATGAGTACTGTTTTCTGTCTTCGGCCTCAACATTCTTTCTTACTTTTTGCCTTTGTTCCTCTGCCAGGTTTCTAGCCAACACCACTTTCAGAGGCCTCAGTGGTTCCATCAGAGTAAAAGGTTCCACCATCATCAGCTCAGAAAACAATTTTTTCATCTGGAATCTGCAACATGACCCCATGGGAAAGCCAATGTGGACTCGCTTGGGCAGCTGGCAAGGGGGGAAGATTGTCATGGACTATGGAATATGGCCAGAGCAGGCCCGGAGGCACAAAACCCATTTTCAGTACCCAAGGAGACTACATTTGAGAGTGGTTACCCTGATCGAGCATCCATTTGTCTTCACAAGGGAAGTAGATGATGAGGGCTTGTGCCCTGCTGGCCAGCTCTGTCTAGACCCCATGACTAATGACTCTTCCATATTGGACAGCCTTTTCAGCAGCCTCCATAGCAGTAATGATACAGTGCCCATCAAATTCAAAAAGTGTTGCTATGGATATTGCATTGATCTGCTGGAAAAGCTAGCAGAAGATATGAACTTTGATTTTGACCTCTACATTGTTGGGGATGGAAAGTATGGAGCCTGGAAAAATGGGCACTGGACTGGGTTGGTGGGTGATCTTTTGAGTGGGACTGCACACATGGCAGTCACTTCCTTCAGCATTAATACTGCGCGAAGTCAGGTGATAGATTTCACCAGCCCCTTCTTCTCCACCAGCTTGGGCATCTTAGTGAGGACCCGAGACACAGCAGCTCCCATAGGAGCCTTCATGTGGCCACTCCACTGGACAATGTGGCTGGGGATTTTCGTGGCTCTACATATCACTGCCATCTTCCTCACTCTGTATGAATGGAAGAGCCCCTTTGGTATGACTCCCAAGGGGCGGAACAGAAGTAAAGTCTTCTCCTTTTCTTCAGCCTTAAATGTCTGTTATGCCCTCTTGTTTGGTAGAACAGCAGCCATCAAACCACCAAAATGTTGGACTGGAAGGTTTCTAATGAACCTTTGGGCCATTTTCTGTATGTTTTGCCTTTCTACATACACAGCAAACTTGGCTGCTGTCATGGTAGGTGAGAAGATCTATGAAGAGCTTTCTGGAATACATGACCCTAAGGTAATACTTTCTTTTATTCTAGTTTTATTTATTGCCATTATAACTCCATATGTTATCTCTAAAGCTGTAGTATGTCTACATTCTTCTATCTAAAATAAGCAAATTCTCTTGGCCAAGTATAGATGCCAGTGTAAAAGTCAGCTACCTAGTTGAACTAAACATTGCACTGTTTTGTTAAGTGAAACAGAAAGAGTA